CCTTATCTTCTGGAACAACACTTTGCATATAGCATGCATATGATAAATGTTTATTTAAATAGTAAGCAGAGTGTGCCTTTCCAAGATTTAATAGAACACTTGTACAAATTGATCCTATACCAGGCCTCAAAGAAAATGCAATACTAGTCCAAAGCAAAGTTTGCATTTTTAACTACAAATGAAAAATGTTAGGATGTATTGTTATTGTTATTACTATTATTAAGGGTCTTGCTCAGTTACCCAGGCTGGAGTGCAGTAGCATGATCACATCTCACTGCAGCCTCAAACCCCTGGGCTCAAGTGATCTTCCTTCCTCAGCCTCCCAAGTAGCTGGGACTACAGGTGCACAATACCATGCATGGCTCATTTTTTAAAAATTTTGTGTAGAGATGGGGGGTCTTGCTCCGTTGCCTAGGCTGGTCTTGAACTCCTGGTGTCAAGTGATCGTCTCACCTCAAACCCCTAAAGTGCTAGGATTACAGGTGTGAGCCACCATGCCCAGCCCCAAAATGCTACAAACTAAAATGAGGGACTTTGAGCTCTGGGTCCTGACTGAGAAAGATGATCTGGGGGCTCCCTGCAAGTCCTTCCCTCAAAGCATTGGCCCAATATGCTAATGTAGTTAAGAGACTAAAATACTTGCTGCATAAGACTGAAATGGAAAATAATGATAAATTAACCTATCTATAGTAATATAAAATGATGGTGCATACTTATAGCTTTCATAATACTTATCAACACATCTCAAGGAGGGTATAATAAACAAGAGGAAGTCCAGAAGAGGTAAGAGAATGATCCCAGGATGGCCTGAGGACATGTATGGAGAGAGACTAAACAAGATCTGAATTCTTCGGTCTGAAAGAGTGATGTTTGAAGGGAACATAATACAATCACAGATGACATACATGAAGTAAATACAGTTAGTCATTAGATTCTAACATAAAGACTGAGGAGACACAACTTCAAACTGGAATGTAGTTATTTTAGAACTAACATAAGGAAGTAGAATCAGAAAACATTAAGTGCCAGAAAGGATTTAAAGACCATCTGCTTGAATTCCTTTGTATTACAAATAAAGAACCAATTTCAACAAATGATGCTAGGAAAAATTTATATCTACATGAAAAAGAATGAACTGGGACCATAATTTTATACCCTATATAAAAATAAACTCAATGTATCAAGACCTAAATGTAAGAGCCACAACTACAAAACTCCTAGAAGAAAACATAGGGCAAAAGCTTTATGATATTTGGTAATGAGTTATTGGATACGACACCAACAGCAAACAGCATAGGCAATGAAATAGATACATTGGATTGCATCACAATTTAAAACTTTTGTGCATCAAAGCACACAATCAACAGAGTGAAAAGGCAACCCATAGAATGGGAGAAACTATTTTCAAATAATATCTGATAAGGGGTTAATATCCAGAATATATGAAGAACTTGTGTAACTCAGCATCAAGAAAACAACCCGATCAAAAAATGGGAGAAGGACTTGGATATCTCCAAAGAAGATAAGTGGCCAATAAGCACACAAAAAAGATGCTCGAAGTTGCTCATCATTAGGGACATGCAAATAAAAAGCACAATGAGACAGCACCTCATACCCATTAGAATGGCTACTATCAACAAACAGAAAATAACAAGTGTTGACCAGGCTGTGGAGAAATTGGAACTCTTGTGCATTGGTTATGGGAATATTAAATGGTACAGCTGCTACAGAAAAAGATATGGCAGTTTCTCAAAAAAATTATAAATAGAAAACGGGTGTGATGGCTCACACCTGTAATCCCAGCACTTTGGGAGGCTGAGGCAGGTGGATTGCCTGAGGTCAGGAGTTCGAGACCAGCTTGGCTAACATGGTGAAACCATGTCTCTACTACAAATACAAAAATTAACTAGGTGTGGTGGTGTGCACCTGTAGTCCCAGCTCCTCAGGAGACTGAGGCAGGAGAATCGCTTGAAGCCAGGAGGTGGAGGTTGCAGTGAGCTGAGATCACACCATTGCACTCCAGCCTAGGTGACAGAGTGAGACTGTCTCCAAAAAAAAAAAACCTAAAAATATAATTACCATATGACTCAGTAACTCCACTTCTAGGTACATATCCAGAAAAATTGAAATCAGGGACTCAAAGAGGTATCTGTACACCCACATTCTTAGCAACATTATTCATGTTAGCCAAAAGGCAGATGCAACCAACTGTCCATCCAGGGTTGAAAGGATAAACCAAACGTGGTCTTTACAGACAATGGAATATTCTTCGGCCTTAAGGGAGGAAATTGTGACACATGCTACAACATGAATGAACCTTGAGGACATCATGCTAAGTGCAATGCATTTGCAAAAGGACAAATGCTATATGATTCCACATATATGAGGGATCTAGAGTCATCAAATTCATAGAGACGAAGAATAGTGATTGCCAGGAGTCTGCATGAAGAAGGAGTGGGAATTATTGTTTAACTGGTGTACTTTTAGTTTTGCTAAATGAAAAGATTTCTATGGATGGACAGCACCACAAAAATGTGAATACATTTAATGCCACTGAACTCTACACTTAAAAATTATGAAGATGGTAAATTTCATATTTATATTTCACCACAATTTTAAAAACAAGAATAGGATTGATTCCTTTTCTTCAAGCAAAACCGCTCCACTTCTTGGGTTCTCCATTCCTGTGAGTGGCACCATTTTACTTGCAGCTGTCTAAGCCAGAAACTTGGCCTCATCCTTAGTGTAGCCTTCTTCCTTTTTCAACTAACGTAGTCATTCAAAAATACTCACACATGTGCCAGTGGTTCTCCTTGCAAAGTGCCTCGAGCCAATCCCGAACACCACATCTCTGTTTCAGGGCACCTTCACATCTCACCCAGGTTACTACAGCAACCCCCTTTTGGTCTTCTGTATCTGGTGCTAAACATTTCCAATCTCCTCCACTTTGCAACACAAGTTCTCTTAAGTGAAAATCTGTGATGTTCCCTCCCTTCTCTGAGTAACTTCAATGGCTCTTTGTTTCCATTAAAATAAAGTCCAAAATCCTTAACTGGGCTAATAATGTCCGTGAGCACTGGGCTCCTCACTACATGCATAGCCTGAGTGTTCCGTGTTCTGTGGCATTCTGGTCATTAGCCATTCTGAAAGCTTTCGGTTCTCGAACTTACCATGTTGTCCCTCCTCTGGCTTTTATACACAGTGGTCTTTCTCAGAACCACTTCTCCTCCTCCATCCCGTCTGAACCTTCTTTGACCAGACAATTTATCTTATTTACTCTAGGCCCTAGCTTGTTAATCACTGATTTCAGGAATATTTTTCTGATCCAGATCTGTGCCAGGAGCCTTCCTGGGTGATCCTGTGTTTCCATCATTAATCACCGTGAACACTGCATTGTGATTGCCTGTTTACTTTCCTGTTCTGGGTGAGGGCTCAATAAGAAATCATGAGTAAATGAATATATACATTGTTCTGGAGAAGTTGTAGCTCACCCAAAATCACCTAAGTAGGTCATTACAATGCCAGTAGTGGAACTAGTACTAGAACTCTAGTACCAGGAACTCTGTCCAGCATACTTTCCAGTACTATGGCACATGACGGGTAGGCATCATCAAACTACCACCTCAAAATGAGTAAGAACAGACTTAGAATGACCCAGCCACATTTGATACATATAAATACTCTCCAAAGAGACGCTGTGATATGCAAACATTTTAGGTGTGACATTGTCCATGTCTCCCCATTTTACTTCTCTTTGGGTCTCAGTTAGCTAAGGACTGGGATAGAAGGAAAAGAGAACTGACCAGCTATTATAATGTCTAAGTTCCATTTGATAGAATACTGGATAAACCAACTTTTGCCAATATTAAAAAACCTTGATTTCATAACCAGTCTCTCAAATAGGCATTTATATTGTAACTCATGAGGCCCCTCTATGCACACTACATACTGGACAGTGAAATCTTGCTTACTGCATTAAAGCTTTGCCTTGAAGAAATCCAGTGTGTGCTGAAAAGGAAGTGTTTCCCATAGTATACACATAGATAGATATACAGATGTGAGTATCTATGTTTAGATATAAATCACTTAAAATAGTCAATGCTGTCATCATTTATAAAAGTAGTGGTGCAGAAAGGGAAAAATAAAATCACATCTTTTATTAAAGACTCCAAATACACATAAATTAAAACTATAATTTCATCTTCTGTACTTGTGATGTAATTAATCTCTCATGTTTTACAGATTTATGTCTACTTGTCACTGAAATGCAAATTGTATTATGTATATAGTATGAGCATATTGTTTTTCACAGCTATGTAACATGGTGCTACTAGACGCCAGCTGAAACTTGGAAATTACTTTATAGATATCATTGTGAATGGGGATTTCTTCAATGCTTTCAAGTTCACAAACAATACATACATTCTGTATAATTCCAAATTCAAGCAAAATAAAGGCTTAAAACTTAATATAGAAATGAATTGTTTTTTGAAAAATAGGATAATGAAATCATATTGAGTTCTTCATATCCCTGACAAATCTCTAACTCATTGGAAGTGAGATGAGTTTGGACTTAAGTAGTAAATATAGCACCATTCTCAAATGGTTTTTTAAAAGCAGACAAATACTCTAGGGTTTGTTAGTACTAATCAAAATTGAGACAAGAGGAATTATATATGCTTTGTTTATATAAAATAAGACATGGCAGAGTGCGGTGGCTCATGCCTGTAACTCAAAGTGGGCAGATTGCTTGAACCCAGGAGTTCTAGACTAGCCTGGGCAACATAGTGAAACCATGTCTCTACAAAAAATACAATTAGCCAGGCATGGTGGCGCACGCCTGTAGTTCCAGCTACTAGGAAGGCTGAGGTGGCAGAATCACTTGCAACCTGGGGAGCTTGAGGCTGCAGTCAGCTGTGATCATGCCACTGCTCTCCAGCCTGAGCAATAGAGTGAGACCCTGTCTCAAAATAAATAAAATAAAATAAAATGAGACATACGATCATAAGCTGCTTTAGCAATGGCTTTTGCCGCATTCTTCTGAATATCAGGAATTGTAGAGTTTTCTGCAAATGACAGGAGCTTTTTAAGACCCCCTGTCTGCCGAATCTGCACCATAGTATCCATGTCTTCAAGGCAATTGGCTATCACTGCAAGTGCTTCTACATGAAGGTCATTCAATTCCTAATAATAAAAGCAAATACAACTTTAGAAAGTTGTACTAAAAGAAAGGTACATTTCCCAAATTTGACTACAAGAGGAAATAAAGTCAGTCGGAACACAATGTAATGAATTTTGTTGTGACAGAGGCCCCAGGGAACAGGAGTTCTGCTTATCAAAGTAACATCACTCTTCTTGGCCGTGTGCCCTGTCTTTTCTCCTTTGCCTTACTCCAAAATGTGTTATGGATAAAAAGTAATGCTAGGGAGGAAACTTCCAGAAATCGTAGTCAATGAAGTTGCTCATACAGTCTTCCACAAAAAACTATTTTGAAATCTGGAGAAAATATTTTTTTAAAAGCAAGACAGAAGCTGATGAAAATATATACTTTAAAATAATTTGTGACTGTAAGAGAAGTATTGTGAGTGTGTGGCCGTCTTGCCTGAGGAAATCTACTGAATTCCCACAGCTATAGAAAACTGCAGTTTTACCTAAATAGCTAGAAATGTAAAGGAGAAATCCCAAAAGTGAGAAATGTTCGGAAGGATAATCCACCATCATGAAGGGAAGGAACTCACTTTCACAGCAAATACATTGTGGCCAATGTTCATGGAATTCACTGGTTTTACCATGTTGCCCACCATCCTGAAGCAGCTGGCTTGATAGAATGGCCTTTTGAAGACTCAGTTACAGCACCAGCTAGTTGGCAATACCTTGCAGGGCTTGGGCAGGGTTCTCCAGAATGCTGTATATGCTCTGAATCAGTGTCTACCATATGGTGCCGTTTCTCCCATAGCCAGGATTTGTGGGTCCAGGAAGGGTAAACATCACCTAAGAATTTTGCATCTTCTTCTGGGGTAAGCATTGGGAAATATTTGGTTGTGTATAGGACAGCTGTATCATGTTAGGTAAAAGTATGATCTCATCATTGTCTTTATTTGAAGATTATGATTTAAGATGCATATGGGTACCAAATTGACAAGGAGAAAACTTGCGATGAATTTTTATCTGGGCCACAGTACTCAATTATTTGGCCAAATATTATCCTAGATGTTTGTGAAAGTACTTTTTATATGAAATTAATGTTTAAAACAGACGTTGAGTAAAACAGATTACCCTCCATGATGTGGGTGGACCTCATCTAATCAGCTGAAGGCTTTAATAGGAAAAGACTGATCTACCTGGCCACAGAGGGAATCCTGCCAGTAGAGCAGCCCTGTACTCAAATTACAACACTTCTCTGGGTCTTCAGCCTACTGGTCTAACCTGTGGATTTGGGACTTGCCAAGCCTCCAAAATCACATGAGCCAATTCCTTAAAACAACTACCCGCCCACCCCCCTCCAACACACACCCACTGATATGGTTTGGCTCTGTGTCCTAACCCAAATATCGTCTCAAATTGTGATCTCCAGGCAAATTAACTAACATAATCCCCATGTGTCAAGGGAGGGACCTGATGGGAGGTGATTGGATCATGGGGGCAGCTCCCCCATGCTGTTCTCGTGACAGTGAGTTCTCATGAGATCTAATGGTTTTATACGTGTTTGACAGTTCCTCCTTCACATGCTCATCTGCTGCCATGTAAGATGAGCCTGTTTCTCCTTCTGCTATGATTATAAGTTTCCTGAGGCCTCCTCAGCCACTAGGATCTGTGAATCAATTAAACCTCTTTTCTTTATAAATAACCCAGTCTCAGGTGGTTCTTTATAGCAGTGTAAAAACGGACTAATACACCCATATACACAGGCACATGTACAATATACATGCATCAAGTTGTTTCCATTTCTCTAGAGAACTCTAATATATGGTATAACTCAAAATCTGAGTATAAACTATTCCCAGACCCCTGACTGACCACTAAACTATACATGCATGGAAGAGATCCCAGGAACCCTGGTGAAAATAAAGAGGCAAGGACTACAAAACATCATATCTTATCCTTGAAGAGGGAGCTGTGCTAGGTGAGATTTATTAATTTACTGCTTTTAAATACGGTGCATTCCTCAATCCATGTGCAGCTCGTCTGGCGGAGTGCTGAAATCTTACTGGTCAGAGGTGTTAGAGGTCAGAGCCTGAGACTGATATAGGAGCCACAGGTGACCGCCAAACTGTAGAAGCTCTGGGGAGACCTCCATGGGTCAGGCTAAAAACAGCAGCAACCAGAAACTATAAGAACTGAGCAGAGATACCAGCTGCACCACTAGTGAGACAAAGTGTGTAGTTCATCACCTACTAGAGCAAAATAACCACAATCCTCAGACGGGCACAACAGAATCTGGAATCACTAGAAAGTATTATCTACAATGCTCATTCTTAACTATGCAAAAAAGAAACAGGAAAGTGTGACTCAAAGTCAGAAAAAAAGGCAGTCAATAGAAATCTACTCTGATAGGGCCAGATGTTGGTGGATTAAGTAATTAAAGACTTTAAAGCAGCTATGATAAATATGTTCACAGAGGAAAGTGCAATAGAGAAATGACACTTCAAACATGGAAATTTAAGACTTGAAAAGTACAAAAACTAGAAAGAAAAAATCACTAGATGGACTAAACAGCAGATTAGAGATGCCAAAAGAATCAGATAAATTGAGTAGAGATCAAAAGATGTTATTTAATCCAAAAAATTGAAGAAAAATGTGCAAAGCTTTAGAGTCTTGTAACATATCAAGCGAGACAACATATGTGTAATTGGCCTCCAGAGGGAAAGAAGGAATAGGAAAAATATTTGCATACATAATGACTGAAAAATTCCATGATTGGCAGAAAACACTAATTTACAGATCTAAGAAGGTCAAGCACCCCAAGCAGGAGATACAATTATATCACTTCTATGCAGAAGAGAAATGCAGAAAGCCAAAGATAAAGAGCAAAGTGTTAAAAGCAGCCAAAGAAAAGTGACACATCATGGACAGGAAGATAGTTAAGCTTAATGGCTGAATTTTCATCAGAAATATTGGCATTCAGAAGAAATTTAAAAATGCTAAAAAGAAAAAACTAGCAGCCAAGAATTTTGTATCAAGCAAAAATATCTTTTCAAAATTAAAGGCAAAAGGAAGCTACTTCCAGATAAATTTAAAAGACAGAATTCATGCCATTATATTCACACTATAAGAAATGCTAAATGAGGTTCTCCAGAAGGAAATGACCCTGATGACAACGTGGATCTACAGGAAAAAATGAAATCAGAAATCATAAATATGTGAGTAAATATAAAATATTAAATATTGATGGACAGATGAATATATGCATAAGTACTAGACAAACACATATGAATGTATAATCCTTAATATCTTGAGGACACATGATATGGGACTCTTCAAAACAATTATTACATTGTGTGGTTGGGTTTATAATGGACACAGACATAAAATATGTAACAATATTAACAGTAGGAAAAGTAAGTAGAGATATTGTTAAAAGGTTCTAGTATTTTACTTCAAGTAATTCAATATTAACTCTAGACTATTATAAGTTAAAGTTAAGTTGCATATTGTAATCACTACAGCAACCACTAAAAATAGAACAAACAAATATAGCAAAAAAGTCAAGAGAAGAATTACAATGTAACACTAAAAAAATTAACACTACAGGGGCTGGGTGCAGTGGCTCATGCCTGTAGTCCCAGCACTTTGGGAAGCCAAGGCAGGAGGATCACCTGAGGTCAGGAGTTTGAGACCAGCCTGGCCAACACGGTGAAACCCCCCCCTTTCTACCCAAAATACAAAAATTAGCTGGGTGTGGTGGCACATGCCTGTAATCCCAGCTACTTGGGAGGCTGAGTAGGAAAATCACTTGAACCCAGGAGGTGGAAGTTGCAGTGAGCCAAGATCGTGCCACTGCACTGCAGCCTAGGTGACAGAGCAAGACTCCATCTCAAAAAAAAAAAAAAAAAAAAAAAATTAACACTACAAAAGGCAGGAAGAGAGGAACTGTGGAATAAAGCAACAGGTCAGACAAATAAATGGCAAGCTTAAATATAACCAAATCAATCATTATATGATAATTGAAAACTCAGCAAAAGGTAATTAAGTAGAAACTGACATATTAATATGTGTTCACTCCATATACATATATTATCTCTTTAGTTCCTTTTAAAAAGTGTTTTATATTTTTTAGTGTACAGATTTAGCAAAAATTTTGATAAATTTATCTCCATGTAGTTCATATTTTAGGAATGTATTATAAGTCCAATTGTACTTTTTGTTTTGCTGTTTTGTTCATTGCTCACATATAGAAATACGATACATTTTTATGTATTGAACTTTCATCCTGTGACCTCAATAGATCTATTTATTAGTTCTAGTAAGTTTCTGTAGTCTTCTTAGGATCTTCTGTATATGTGGTCATGCAATCTGAATAAATATAGATGCAATCTGTGAATAAATACAGTTTTACTTCTTCTTTTCCAGTTTGTTAGTCTTTTTGTTTGTTTGTTTTTGTGAGATGGAGTCTTGCTCGGTTGCCAGGCTGGAGTGCAGTGGTGCGATCTTGGCTCACTGCAACCTTCAACTCCCTGGTTCAAACGATTCTTCTGCCTCAGCCTCCCGAGTAACTGGGATTACAGGCACTTGCCACCATGCCCAGCTAATTTTTGTGTTTTTAGTAGAGATGGGGTTTCACCATGTTGGCCAAGATGGTCTCGATCTCCTGACCTCATGATCTGCCCACCTCAGCCTCCCAAAGTGCTGGGATTATAGGTGTGAGCCACTGCGCCTGGCCCCAGTTTGTTAGTCTTTTGTGTTATTTATTTATTTGGCCTTATTGCCCTGGTTCCAACCTTCAGGACAATGCTGAAAAAAAATTATGGGAGCAGACACCTGTGCCTTGTACCTACTCTTAGGTGAGGATGGGGACGAGCATTTTTATTTTTCACTCTCTATATTTTTGTGTTCTTTGAATTTTTCCCATTAGAATATATACATATCAGTTCTTAAAAAATCCTTCTCACATATTTCCTAGCTCTAACCATAGGCAAGTTATTCAACCTCTTTGAGAGGCATTTTCCTTATTTGTATAATAGGATTAATGCTATAATAGGTATATATGATTATATACGTAATGATACAATTATTACCAGTACTTTCATTTCATAGATAAAAATACCATCACATTCCTCAAAGAATTACAAATTTAATAAAATCACAATGCCTGCCACCTAGTAGGTGCTTCCATCCCTTTTCCTAATTAAAAAAAGACAGGTAAAATATCAGATAGGCGAGAATATGTGGCATATCAGATAAACCCTGTGGTTAGTCACTTTCTACCTGTGTGACATAAGGCAAATTAAGTAACATTTCTGGTTTCAGTTCCCCTTTTAAACAGGATAAAATGTTTGCTATACAGTGTTACTAGCATTTTGCATCACAAATGTAATTATAGGGGATCACATATGGGATCCACAAATCAAAGGCAGGTAGGTCCACATGACTGGGAACATGCTTGTGCCATCTCTGCTCTTTTATATTGTACTTCATTTTCCCAGTGCTGTATAGTCAAACTGAGTTCTGGTTTTTTAGAAAAAATTTAACAATTGGATAGTTTGAAACATAATACAAAGTTATTACTCTATTGTACTCCTTCAATATGTTCCTATCTCTGGAATCTCTAAGAAGTACTTCAAGCAGATTTCTGTTATTAGAATTAACTTAATTTACTAAATATTAAAGTAGGGATACTGGATGTGAAATCTGTTTATTACTGTTTCACTAAGGAGTTAGTGGCTAAAGACACTGGACACATTCAGAAGCGATCTGGACCACTCAAGTCAATTAAATGGTTTTCAATAAACTGCTAGATGAGTTTTTGTAACCAAGAGATCCTAGAAGGCACAGATATTCTTAAAGTTTGATTCTTAAGGGGCTTATTAGCAACTGTGGACATTTAACTCCAATATTATTAAAATGTATATAGAAGGTAAATTATGCTTCTGCTTTATCCCAGAGAAAACCATAATGAAGGTTAAAAGACTCACCCTAGGGGTTTTAGGAAACCAAGAGGAAGATCATAGACAAGAATTTAAAAATCTTAAGTCTGATAAACCAGAAGGCTTTTAAAATTAGTTTATAATGGTCCCTACAATTAGCCTGATTTAAACAGGCCAATAAACTTTATGTAGCAATAAGCAAATTAATCCATTACACTTAATACACATTAAATATAATAAAATTTCATTTTAAACATTTGGGAGAGATACATTTCCTCGTAGAGAGTCAAATGAATGAAACTAAATACCTTAGTTTCTAGGATCTTAATAAGATGGTCCAATCCTTGATTGTCTCTTAGCGTTGTTCGAGACTGCTTATCATTTGTAATAACACCTAAGGTTTTGAGAGCCAACAACTGAATCACTGGATATTCTGACTTCAAGAGCTCTAAGGTAGGAGGTATTGCATTTAGTTCTTGAAGTGTAGTTCGACACTGAAAATCCTGCCACAAAATACAGATAATCAAAACAATATATTTTTAAGCAAAATACATTCTCAAGAATGGAGGAATTCTGTTTTCTAACACAAGAATATAAGTTATAATTTTCCCATCTTTTACTCCAGATTCCCTTCCAAAATAACTCACAAAAATAAGAAATCTTTCCATTGACAACACCAAAATTTATTTTAACTGTAATATGTAGACATTGTCTACAACAAAATATACATGGTCTATGTCTTTTGTAGTATCTATTGTTTATTATACAGCAAATTCTGATTACTCTAAACAGCATTATAATAAAATCTATGCATAATAAAATTCTTTTCACACTTGGATACACTGCTTCAAATAGTAATTAATAAAATGATATGGCATTGATTCCTTATTATCTCATTCAAATGGATTCTTTATGAAATACCTATTAGCATGCAGTACTGTTGACAGGCCCTCTGCATGCAAATTTAAAGCAGGTTTATTCAGATACATGACCTTTATTTAAGACATTTACACAATCAAGAGGTCATTGTAATCCAGATAATTGTTGTGCTTGTATGTCTGTGATTCTGTGTGAGTGAAGAAGTGGGTGGTTGGGGGAGCTTAAGAAAACAAGCCAAGAAGCCATGAAAAGCTCCCAAACTCTTTTAAGACATGACACCTTTAATCAAAACATTTATAAATAATCAAAACATATAAAAAATATACTATTTTATAGTTACACTATTTTTTATATTTTACTATTTTACTATATATATTTATAAGGCAGAAAAGGCTCCAATTGTAGCTTAGCTTTCCCCTGTCCATCCTTCAGTTGATCACTAATATTCAGCTTCCTTTAGACACAACTGTAGGTTGCTTTTTGTCATGGATTGAATTGTATCCCTCCAAAATAAGTGTTGAAGTCCTAACCCCAGTACCTCATAATGTGACCTTATTGAAAACAGGGTCATTGCAGATGTAATTAGTTAAGATGAGGTCGTCCCGGAGTAAAGTGGGACTTTAGTGGTGTCCTTGTACAATTAGTGTCCTTAGGAGAGAGAGATGACAGAGGGAGAGCTTGCTGGAATGCAACCACAAGCCAAGGGATGCCACCAATGGATGGCCACTACATGAAGATGGGAAGAGGAGAGGAAGGGTCTTATGTAGTCTCAGCGGGGATGTGGTCCTACTGACACCTTGATTTTGGACTTCTGGCCTCCAGAACTGTGACTGTTTGTAGTTTTAAGCCACCTAGTTTGTAGTACTTTGTTACAGCAGCCCGAGGAAACTAATACACATTTTTAAGCCAGTACTGCTGTTAAGAACCGTGGAGGTAATTATTTTTATTTCTTCTTGATTAAAACAATAGGGAAATATTGCTGTAAGGAGTCTTTAGATTTAAAACACAAATATGCTTACAGGAATATTTAATCAAATGATGTAAAGCCAAAGTAATGGGAGAAGGGAAAAGAGGGACTAAGCTTCCTCTTTAGGATGTCTTTTTTAGGGAGGGAGGAGGAGTGGCAACTGCATGCTGGGCCAGGAATTTTGCTTTTGCTGCCTTTTGACATGAGCCTGTTTGTCTCTCTCTGCCTGGATACGTTGCCTCTCCAGTAATCCTCTTCTTCACTCTCGTTTTGGTATCTCCTCATTTCTTACTCTATTGATGGCCATTTAAAATTTGTGTCTTTCCAATTTCCAGTGATCTAAAGTTCATCAAATGTGCATGATAATTGTTAAGGAATCTAAGCAGCAGAGAAGGCTGTTCAAAATATCAGGAAGCTGACCTGCTGTGAGCGTTAGGGTGTGTGTGTGTGTGTGTGTGTTCCCGGGGTGGGGGTTCAAAGGGCAGGACTGTAGGGGAGGGGAAGGTTGACAGTTTATTTCCATGACAAAGGAAAACAGCACAGTGAGGTGGCGTCTTGCTATTGTGGACAATGAATTCTGTTCTGCACACTTAGATCATTAGATTTTTAGCAACAAATAAGCCTAAACCAAAATCTCAGTACATTGAATAGGGTATATATTACATCCGATGCGCTTAGACCACCAGGGTTCAATCAATAGTAACTGCCCAGGTTCCACATATTAGATTTCTTGTTTCAAAAGAAGTACATTTTATTTGCATGCCATTCTATTCTTTAAAAATAGAAATACACTTCCAAAATACTTTTTCATAGGAAACAATGACTTATGTGAAAATTGAAAGATATCTACATTAAGCTTCCGTTATTTTTTTTCTCTGAATGATAAATACCAGTAAAAAGAAGATCTAATGATGCAAAACTGCTGAGTTTTTAAAAGCTTTTTTCTATTTTTAATGGGAAAATAAATTCTAAAATCAGCTTTCGTCAGAACACTTTTTAGAAATTAATCTTACCTGCACCAAGTTGTAAATGCATTCCATAGAATTCTTCTTTACATCCGGGTCTGGGCTACTCAGTAGTCTGATGAGTGGCTCTAATCCCCCATGTTCAAATATTTGCACTTTACTAGTGTACTCTGCAGACATGTTTGCTAGACAAAGGCTAGCAAACTCATGGATAACTACTTCTTCTGTGTATCAAAAATAAATAACACAAGTATGCCAACTGCTTATTATTCAGTCACTACTTTAAAATATGCTTTGGAAACCAAAGCTCTGCAAATTGTATCTTGCTTATAGCTCACCTTTTTTATAAACTCAAAATTGAGCTGTGGTTTGAGAGATTTTAATAACACTTCACAATAGCTCATGAATGATTTTCAATATATAGTTTGATCAACTGTAAAAAAAAAACCAGTTCCATTTTTTAAAACAGATATAGAATGCAAAGTTACCTTCTGGAGCGAGCTGGGCAATGACAGAATTCATGACATCTAACTCCCTTAACAATTTTTTAACATCATCTACAAAGGAAGAAACAGAATATTGATGTTTATTGATAATAATAATAGGCCGGGTATGGTGGTTCATGACTGTAATCCCAGCATTTTGGAAGGCTGAGGCAGGTGAATCACTTGAGGTCAGGAGTTCAAGACCAGCCTGACCAACATGGTGAAACCCCTACCTTATTAAAAATACAAAAATTGGCCAGGTATGGTAGCTTGTACCTGTAATCCCAGCTACTTGGGAGGCTGAGGCAGGAGAATCGCTTGAACCTGGGAGGCAGAGGTTGCAGTAAGCTGAGATCACGCCACTGAAATCTAGCCTGGGCAACGGAGTGAGACCCTGTCTCAAAATAATAATGATAATGGCAGTATCTACTGAACACTCCCTTATGAGACAGGTAATACTATTATCTCATTTTACAGATGAGGAAATTGAGGCTCAAAACCACACAGCAAGTGGTGGGGCAGGTTTCTTGCCTAGGTGGGGCCAACCCAACACATTCTCTAGCCTGCTGTATTCCTCGATCCTGAGCTGTACTTCCTTCTAAGACCCTAGAAACAATAACCATAAAAGTGCAAAATGTGCCTAGAACACATATCAGAAGAGTTGAGTTACTGTGTCCTACATTTATTTATTATGTAATAGTAATTTTTGTGTGTGTGTGTTTTGCTGGGAGGGTATTTTTAAATTCTGATTTTAATAAATCTTGTACAGAATACAAATAAGAATTATCCAGCCTATTTCAATTAATACATCTTGATTGCTTACATTCAATTCGATTATTAGAAATGCCAAAAATGCTTAAAAATAAGTATATTGACTGTTGTAAAGTACATTTTATACTATTTTTGTCAGCCTAATTAAAGCTAGACAGGTATGCCTGTGTGCAGGGCTCTAACCTCAGTGCCACTACTAACCACCTGCATGACTTTGGGCAAATAAACGAATGCTTTGAGGTATCTATCCTACTTTTAAGATAAAGAGTTGCATAAGAGGTGTTACCAAGGTTTGTGTGTGTGTTTGTTTTGAGACAGGGTTTCACTCTGTCACCCAGGCTGGGGTGCAGTGGTGTGATCATGGCTCACTGCAGCCTCAAACTCCTGGGCTCAAGCAATCCTCCCACCTCAGCCTCCCAAAGTGCTGGGATTACAGGCGTGAGCCACCATGCCTGGCCACAAAATATTTTTGTTTCTCAAATTCCGTGGTATGTAAATAGAATAAAACATAAGAAATAAAAAAAACTTCCCTTTTTTGGTTATAATTTTCCTTTTTTGTTTTTGGTTAAACATTCAATATGATACTAATATAGAATTGTTACACAGATAATCCTTGTGATAAATTTAGGAGGGCCCATAATTCAATTGAGTACTGCCTTATTTTAACTTCTCTATGCCTCTGTTAGCTCAGATGTAAAGGAAATAATAATAGTACCTACCTCACAGGGCTGTTAGATAGGATTAAATGATTTACTATATCAGTAGCACTTAGCACAGTGCCTGGCCCCTTGTCAGTGCATGTAAGTGTTAACTAGTGTTATTACCATAGTCTAAGTTGGTGGGACATGCACTGCGCCATGACTGTCCTCATCCTGTTGCTATCTTGGGAAACACTCCCAGGCTGCTGCCTTAGAGCACAACTACCATCAGAGCTCCCAAAGTCACTGCCTTCCACTGACTCCTCGCAGAGGGCCCCGGCAAAAGCAGTCTCTAGCTGAGGCTGTAATGGCACAGACGCCACACAAAACCGCCCTTCCACGTCTCTCCCCAACTTCCATTCATAACTGTCCCTGAACACACTCACACCACAAACCCCTGCTGGACATGGAATAAGGAGGCCTCACTGTCATCACACGGGGTCCAGGGAAAATGGCGAGCAGCGGGTAGGCAGGAAAACTAGGAAAGAATTCGTGCTTGTGTTTTGCTGAGATTATCATAAGATGGGAAAGCATAATGATTTTAGCCATGTACCATGATAGGCATGTGTTTATTCATAGCTACCTACGTTTAATGTTAGAATTCAGTTTCCACTAAAAGTGTCATTTAAAATTTATTATGAGTTACAGGGTTTTTGGTGGCTAACTCAAAAACTACCATTAGAAAATGACAAGGAAAACATATCCTGTTCATAAGTCAGAGACTGCCTTTATTGGCATGGTGGTCAAACTGATATTCTAATGGACCTAATAGTGTCTTTTAACTAATATTATTATACTGTCATATGATACTAATATGTTATTTAATATATAATGTATAATTACATATTAATATATTATACTAATGATACATAATATAATTGATATTAATTGTATTCTTGATATTAATCACATATTAATGTTAATCATGTACACATGATTAATATTACATAGTATATATTATATATTAATAGAATAATAATATGGCATATATGATTCCAAGCAAGTAATAGGTCTAAGAAGTAAATGCACTTTTTAAAATTTATTCTTTTGAGACAGTCTCACTCTGTCGCCCAGGCTGGAGTACAGTGGCGCGATCTCAACTCACTGCAACCTCCACCTCCTGAGTTCAAGTGATTCTACTGCCTCAGCCTCCCGAGTAGCTGGGATTACAGGCACCTGCCACTATGCCTGGCTAATTTTTGTATTTTTAGTAGAGACAGGGTTTCACTATGTTGGTCAGGCTGGTCTCGAACTCCTGACCTAAAGTGATCCGCCTACCTTGGTAAATGCACATTTAAATTTATCTTTTGTAAAATATAGTTTGCAGTTTCAAAAAAAATCAGTTTATCAAAACTCTTTAGGCTTTGTTCACTAAGAAATATATATGAAATGTAACATACATGTAGGCAGGCAAATTACATTACACTAAAGAAAAAAACTTTAAGAGAAAATGATTGCTATCTCAGCTTGCAGGACTACCTCACCAACTCTGAGAGGAGTTTTTGCATGGATGTGCTTGCACATATTTTCCTATTTTAAAATTATCCCTTAAAATATGAAATCACACATTTGCTGCATTATACTGATAAAACGTTTTTGTGAACATTAAAGTCAATTTAAATAAAATTGAAACAAATTCCTTAATGTTAAATTTAAAAGAATGATAATGCATTACATGGGATTATTTGATTATTTTTTAAAGTTGATACTTACTATTAGAAGACAGGATTCCAAATATCATAGTAGCATTTCTTCTTACAATTTTATCTTCGTGGGTGAGTAGCTTAGTTAAAGGTTCCACAGCTCCAAGTTCAAGGAGGGTTGCTTTATTTTCCTCACCTGACATCACACGTAAAACAAAACCATACATGGATATTATCGATCTCATCAGCATTCTGCCTTGTGCCATTCCAATTTCTTATTTGCCATTTGCCTTTCACATTATTCTTGGCTTACACTCGTATTTCCCTCAGAATAAACTTAAAAGACAGGCATCCCGGACATTTCCTCCTCTTCCTTCCCCTGTTTACAAAGCTGGCTTCATCTTGTCTTCAGTTCTGAGCTCACACTGCACCTCCTTGGAGCAGTCCCCCACAATCACCCTATCTACTGTCACCACATCCAAGTCTTTCTTATCCCCCTTTATCCTGTTGTAATTTTGTCATATCACTTAACAACCTGTGTGTTTTGCTTACTTACTCCATGATAACTCCTCATAAGGACAGATGCCCTTTCTGCCCTATTCTCTCATAACCTTAGTGCCTAGCACGGTGCCGGTCATGTAACAGAAACTCAACAAATACTTCCTTGCATAATTAATTAGTTCTAGCCCTTTTTTGTAGATTTGATAGAATTGTTTATAGATGTCATCACATTAATTTTATGTGCCAAAGCGACTGAGCTAAGGGATGCACAAATAGCTACTAAAACGTTTCTGGGTGTGTCTGTAAGGGTGTTCCTGGAAGAGATTAGCATTTGAATCTCTAAACTGAGTAAAGACGTGTGCTCACCAGTGTGAGTGGGCAATATCCAATCTGTTGAGGGCTTGAGTAACAGAGAGTGTAAAAAGGAAAAATCCTCTCTCTTTTTGAGCTGGGACTTCCATCTTCTCTTGCCCTGGAACATTGGAGCTCCTGTTCTCAGGCCTTGGGACTCCAGGACTTTACAGCAGCTTTGGTTCTCTGGCCTTAGGACACAGACTGAATTACACCCCTGGCTCTCCTTATTCTCCAGCTTGCACATGGTATTGTCATGGGACTTCTCAGCCTCCACAATCATGTGAACCAATTCCCATTACAAATCTTTTCATATATTTCTACATATGTCCTATTGGTTCTCTTTCTCTAGAGAATCCTGACTAATACAATGCAAAAGATAACTGTAATAATAGAGAAAACTGAAATTGTGGAGGGGTGTTTATGGGAACTCTACTTCTCATTTCTCTTTTCTTTTTTTCTTGAGACAGGGTCTTGCTCTGTCACACAGGCTGGAGTGCAATGGCGTGATCATGGCTCTCTGCAGTCTCAACCTCCTGGGCTCAAGTTATTCTCTCACCTCAGTCTTCTGAGTAGCTGGGGCTACAGGCAAACACCACCATGCCTAGCTAATTTTTTTTTTCAACTTTTGTTTTGTAGAGATGGGGTCTCACTATGTTTCTCAGGCTGGTCTCAAACTCCTGGGCTCAAGTGATCCTCCTGCCTCAGCCTCCCGAAGTGCTGGGATTACAGGCTCCACAAGCCACTGTGTCTGGCCTCATTTTTCTATAAACCTAAAACTGCTTACGGAAAAAGTCTAGAATTTTTAAAAACAATATATTCTATAAGTTGTGAGAAAAATTCTGCAAATATATGTCTGATACAGAAATAAAGAATGTGTATCCAGAATATATAATTTCTAAAACTGAATAAGAAAACAAGCAAATTTTAAAATATATATGAACAAATGATTTGAACAGATACATCACCAAAGAGGATATACAATGATAATAAAGTACATTTTCTCTGCATCATTAGTCATTAGGGAAATGCAAATTAAAACCACAATGAGATACCACTTCACAGCCACAAAGATTACTATAATCAAAAAGATGAACAGCAACAAGTGCCAGCTAGTGTAGAGCGAAATTAGAACCCTCATATATTGCTGGTGAGAATATAAAACGTACAAATCACTTTGGAAAACGGTTTAGCAGTTTCTTAAAATGTTGATGTACACCTACCATATGACCCAGGCAAACTGTGGTAAATCTATATAATGGAATAGCAATAAAAAGAAATGCTACAATATGAATTAATCTCAAAATAATTAGGGTGCGTGAACAGAGCCGGATTATATCATCTTCTATAAATCAAATAGAGATAGTTCTACCTCTTTCTCTAATTTGTGAGAAAGTTTTTAACTACAAATTTTCTGGATGCCTTCTATTTCTTTTTCTTACCTGATTGCATTGGCAAGAACCTCCCATACAATGTTGAATAAAGACATCCTTCTCTTGCTCCTGATCTTAGGGGAAAAGCATTCAGTTTTTTACCATTAAGTGTGATGTAAGGCATAGGGTTTTTTTGTAGATATCTTTTATTAGGCAGAGAAAGTTTATATCTATTCCTACTTTGCAGACATATTTTATCAGGAGTGGATGTTGGATTTTGCCAAAAATGTTGTTTTGCATGTATTAAGATGATCATATGGTTTTTCTTTTTTCTTAAAAAATTTTTTTTTCTTATTGCTGCTGTAATAACAAAACTAGTGGTTTAACAACAACACAAATTTATTATCTTACGGTTTGAAAGTCAGAAGCCTGATATATATCTCAGTAGGTGAAATTCAAAATGTTGGCAGGGCTATCTGTGCTCCTTGGGAGCTAAGCTCTATGGCAGAATCCATTTCCTTTTCTTTTCCAGGTAGCATGCCTTGGTTACTGAGTCCCTTTCATCTTCAAAGCCAGAAATCACACCCTTCTGACCTCTGTTTCCACCATCATATTGTCTCCAATTCTGTCTGTCTTGCCTTCTTTCACCAATAAGGGCCTTTGTGATTGTGTTGGCCCAACCTAGATAATCCAAGTAATCTCCTCATCTCAAAGAGAGTTGATTAGCAACCTTAATTCTATCAGCATTCTTATTTGTCCCTTGTCATGTAACACACTATTTTCATAGCTTCCAGGGATTCTGATGTAGATACTTTGGGATTATTTTTCTACCTACCACACATGGTAAAATACCTTGAGTGATTTTCAGTTATTAAACCAATCTTGCAATCTGGGAATAAGAGTCATGTAGTCATGATGTGTTAGCTTTCTTTATACATTGCTGAATTTAATTTGCTAACATTTTGTTTAGAATTTTTACATCTATGTTAATAAGGCGTATTGACTTGCACATTTCTTTCTTGCCTTTTTCTGTTTCGGCCTTTATACAGCAGTGGTGGCTTCACAGAATGAATTGGGAAGTACGCCATCCTTTTCAATTTTCTGAAAGTATTTGTGTGTAATTGGTATTATTTCTTCCTTAAATGTTTGGTAGAATTCACCAGTAAAATCATCTGGACCTGGAGTTTTGTTTGTGAGAAAGTTTTTAACTACAAATTTCAGTTTTTGTAATATAGAGCTATTCAAACTGTCTTTTTCTTAGTGAGCTTGGAAATTTATATCTTGAAATAAACTTGTCCACTTAATCTAAGTTGTGGCATTTATTGGTATTAATTTATTGATAATATTCCTTTTATCCTGTTCATATCTGTAGGATCTCTAGTGATGTCCCTTCTCCCACTCCTGATATGGATAATTTGTCTTCTCTCTTATTTTGTCTATCAATCCATTTAGAGGTTTATCATTCTTACTGATCTCAAAAAGCAGCTTTTCATTTTTATGGCTCATCAATTTTTTTTGTTATCTATTTCACTGATTTATACTGAGATATCTATTACATCCTTATTACTAACTTTTGGTTTGTTTTTTGTTTTTGTTTTGAGACGGAGTCTCACTCTATTGCCAGGCTGGAGTGCAGTGGCATGATCTCGGCTCACTGCAACCTCTGCCTCCCAGGTTCAAGAGATTCCCCTGCCTCAGCCTCCCAAGTAGCTGGGACTACAGACGCGCGCCACCACGCCTGGCTAATTTTCTGTATTTCAGTAGAGATGGGGTTTCACCTTGTTGGTCAGTATGGTCTCAATGTCCTGACCCCATGATCTGCTCACCTCAGCCTCTCAAAGTTCCAGGATTACAGGCAAGAGCCACTGCACCCAGCCTTGTTCTTCTTTTTCTAGTTTCTTAAGATAGAAGTTGAGGTTATTGGTTTGAGACTTTCCTTGTTTTCCAGTATAGGCATTTAGTGCAATCAACTTCTCTCTAAATACTTTTAGTGGCATCCTTTACTGTGTTTTAATTTTCAATTATGATTTTTGTTTTGATTTCTTCTTTGATTTGTGAGTCATTTAAAAGTATGTTATTTATTTTCTAACTACTTAACAATTATCCAGAGTTTTCTACATTATTGATTTCTAAGTCCACTGTGGTATGAAAATATATTTTGTGTTATTGGAATCACTTAAAATTTATTGAGGCTTATTTTATGGCCCAGAATATGATCTATTTGAATAAATGTTCTGTATGCACTTGAAAGAAAATGTGTATTCTACTGCTCTTAAAGTGTTCTATAAATATTAATTAGGTTAAATTCATTGATATTGTTAAATCCTTTATATACTTATATATTTTCTGTCTACTTGTTCTTTCATTTATTGAGAGGAGTATTTAAATCTCCAGCTCTAATTGTGGATATCTATTTCTCCTTGCATTATTAGCTCCATGTATTTTGAAGATCTCATATTTGGTACATAACTGTTTAAGATTTTTCAACCCAGGAAGCACAAAGGGTCAAGGAATTCCCTTTCCTAGTAAAGAGAAGCTGTGACAGATGGTACGTTGAAAGTCGGGACACTCCCACCCTAATACTGCGCTTTTCCAACAGTGGTAGCAAATGGCACACCAGGAGATTATATCCTGTGCCTGGCTCATAGGGTCCCACACCCACGGAGCCTCACTCACTGCTAGCACAGCAGTCTGAGATCGAACTGCAAGGTGACAGCATGGCTGGGGAAGGGGCCGTTGCTGAGACTTGAGTCGGTAAACAGAGCAGACCGGAAGCTCCAACTGGGTGGAGCCCACCACAGCTCAAGGAAGCCTGCCTGCCTCTGTAGACTCCACCTCTGGAGGCAGGGAATAGCTGAACAAAAGGCAGTAGAAACTTCTACAGACTTAAATGTCCCTGTCTGACAGCTTTGAAGAGAGTAGTGGTTCTCCTAGCACAGAGTTTGAGATCTGAGAATGGACAGACTGCCTC